AGCTGAGGGAAACATCAGCGGTCGAGGGACTGCAAAACATATTGTTTCCTGAGGTTTTCAGTAAATAAGTGCTTTATTATCATATCAAGTGTCAAAGAGAGCAAAACAAGTAAATAAATGAGCTTTTTTATTCAAAGATGTTGATAAAATTACTGAAAAATGACAAATGATACATAATACAAATAGTCAAATGTCACTAAAATGAATAAATGTAATAACAAAATGAATACTATAAATGTAACTTAGCTATTTGTAGTTGAAATTAAATGTTTCATAACAATTTTTACGACACTGAAGAGTGTTTTTATGCGACTTTGTACTTATTGAYGGTCCACAACATATTATTGACCGCTGGTGGAYAGTTGCCGGGAAACAGTAAAAATGTGTGTCTCACTTGGTACACTCTCGACCAATAAGTTACTAGGAAAAGTGAACTTTGACACTTGATATACAGTATAATAATAAGAATTATATTTTGTTTGATTTTTTGTTGGTACTCATCCAGAGATTACTATATGATACATTGTAATAGTTAATGAATTGATATCACTTATAATAATTTGTTATCACTTATAATAAATTATGTTTTCAGCTCAGTGTTTGAAGCTTGCCATTAGTAAAGCTCTAGGATATGGGATAGTTGTGGGATCTTCTATTAGTAAGTATTTCTTTTTAGAAGCTATATATTGAATAGCACAAAAAATGTACAATCTCTTAATAAAATTCTGACTGCTAGTTTGTATATTGTGATGGAAGTCCGGTATATACACTCCAGTCAGTTGATGAYGGAACAATTTGCCGCGCTCGTCGCACATCGTTTAAAGTCTGTCATTCTAACTACACGATATGTTAGCTATGTTAGCACGTTATGTTTGATATGTTAGCTTTCAAAGTTAGCCCTTTAATTTGCTATCAAAGTGCAGAATATGTTTGATTTACACTAAATATATGTAATTCCAACAAGTTTGATTGATTTTGTACAATCTTTTTTAGCAGAAAGTAAAAGAAAATACCTTGAAATCACTAATTAGCCTTGTTCATACTGAGAGGTCTGGGGACAAGTCCCCTCTCATTCGTATAAAAACCTCAACTTGAAATAAAGAGCACACTGCTAACTTGCATAGATATCAAGAGTTTGCTTTAATTTGAATGACTATGAAAAGATTTTACTCAATATACTACTCATCAACAGCTGCATTGCTATATAAAAATAATAATAATAATTTATTTCGTAAAAGACGCAGTATAGTTTCTTATGATATTATGCAGTGCTCTATTCTAAACTTCAAAGGCATTTATTTTTTCGAGTACAAGTTTAATTTGCATATCAAAAATTTAAATTCCATAAACATGTCACATTTTTAGAGTCAAATTCGTATGACTGGGAAACTGTTGCTGATGAAATTGAGTTATAATACAGATTCGTTCGAGTTAACACAAGTGCAAAGAAAATTCCAGAAGTTGCAATGTATACTCTCCGACCTGATTTTTYAGTTTGTAGCTTGAACTAGCGACTTATGGCATATTTGATTAGCTGGAAGTGAATTCCCACTATGAGCCATTAGCATATTTCTATATATTAAGATGATTAGGCTGACAGCATACCACCATGGGAAGACTGCTGAAAGAGAACAAGATGGTAACCAGGCAGAGGAAGAAGAATTGTACCCCCGAGTACCTGAAGCAGCAAGGAATTGGAACCCACCCAAGTCAAGCATCCCAGAGATAGAGGTGTTTTTGGCCGCTGTTATATGAGAATTTTTTAATCCTAACAATGTTAAGGTCGCCAAAGATAATTTGAATCAGGCAGAAAGATCTGCATTGAAAGAACTGAATAACAGGGTTATAAGAATACAAGATAAAGGCTCGTGATTTGTCATCATGGAAAAGAAAGATTACATTGCAAAAATGGATGAGCAGTTGAACAACCCATTACATTATGAAAGGTCAAACCAAGGTCCTACTGACCTCCATTTAGATAAAGTGAAGACCTGGGAATCTAAATGGCTTAAGAAAAAGAAGATTACGGAAGATATTGCAGAGTGGTTGTTAACGAGCAAGCGCGTCCAGGAACAGCATTTGGTAATGTAAAAACGCATAAGGAAATTAACCCTGTTAGGCTGATAACATCTTGCTGCGTCACAACCATTGAAAATCTGTCGGCTTTTACAGAATTTCATCTTATTTAAGATCTTAGCTTATGGGCTGCCTTCATTTGTTAGAGACACTACAGATTTGTTAAATAGAATAGATAGATTAAATAGATCAGGCCCATTGCCAAATAATACACTTTTGGTATCATGGGATGTAGTTGCAATGTTTCCTAATATTGATAATAACTTAGGACTCACAGCAGTTAAAAAAGCTTTGAATACGAGAACTATTGAAATACCATCTACTAGGAGTGTTTTAGAGGCTGTTGAAATTTGTCTTAAGAATAAATTAATTCGCTATTTAGGAATAATTCATACTTGCAAATTCATGGTAAAGCAATGGGTCCTAAAATGCTTGTCTAGCTATGCGAAATATAGCAATGGGTGAAACAGATAGGTTAGCTAAGTCAGGAATTTTGCAATATTTAAGTTTGTTGTTATATATTTTTTGCTTTTCTAATTGTATATATATATTTTCTTTTGTGATGTTTATCTGGCTTGGGTTTGTGTAGTGTAATTTCTAGTTTAGTGAGCTGAGTGTTTTGATCTTATAAACAACTGGGTAGCTGTAATTWTCTTGTCGAAATAATATATATTTTTGACCGCCACTAATAAACAACGATGTCAAGTTGGATAAAAATATGAGTAAATACAAAAAAATCAGAAGTCAAAAGTTAGATTTCCTGCGGCTTTGATGCTTGAGTGGTGCAAATTTCAATCAGTCACTTTAGCAGCCTCCTGTACCACCTGGTAGTACTTACAGCTCCACAGGTCAGTCCAATATTTTACCTGGTAGTACTTGCAGCTCCCCCAGATTAGTCTCCTGTTCTACCGAAAATCAAACGTGGTAGACCTTCTAACAGTAAGGTGACCGACCGTGTCTGTTTGGTCTCTGCGATCTTTATCATTCTTGTCCGTCACTGGCTTAGTTCAGCAACGCCAAATCACACAAATCACAGCTCTAACAGTGTGTTCCTGCTATGGAGCATAGTTAGTAGAGGGGAATACCATTCCCCTCTACTAACTATGCATGGAGGTTCTGTAAGCCCACTGTCGCAGATAAACCGCTTATTAAACTCAAACTACTTCACATTCGTAACAATAAAAACATTATCAACTTTACTGTGGGTCTCTTAATGCTCTGTGGAGATGTCGCTTCTCACCCAGGACCTGTGGATTCTTCAAAACTTAGGTATCAAATGTATGGTATCGAACACACAGAGCCTAAAGAGCTTAAAGAAAGTTGTAAACAGCAATGGCTCAAAAACGGTGTAGCATGCAATCTCCATCAGTTTCAAGACTTCGTGTATTCAGAGGACATAGACATAGTCTGCGTCAATGAAACCTGGCTTAACGAATCCATAGATAATTCTGAGATACTTAAAGACAGTTACGTTATGTTCAGGAAAGACCGATCTCATAATCATGTCGGAGGTGTGCTCATCGCAATCAAGATCGCTGCGTTTAAGTCTATTCGCGAAATCTCTCTTCCCRAACATCTACAAGAACTAGAGGTTTTAGCGGCTTCGGCGACTACCTCCCATGATCGCAAGATCTTAACAGGTGCTATAATCAATCTTATCAAGAAAAAGGAAAACGTACGCAGGAAACTAAAATTACACCCATCAGAGTCACTAAAAGTCAAATTTCGAGCTATGCGTTCACAAATAAAGCGCGCAATCAGAGGAAGCAGGGACGATTGTTCTTTGAGTCTGCCAACATCGAGTTCAAGAATAATCCCAAGCGTCTCTGGTCAGTCTTAAAAACCCGCTCAAAGTCGCGTAACATACCGGAAAGTGTCTCCATGGCAACTGGCAACTTACGTAAAACCGCTGACACTCCAGAARAAATCGCAGACATTTTTAATATCTACTTTACTTCAGTGTTTTACTGTCTCACATGAAGCCAAGGAGGATAAAAGGGTATGGGAACGTCCAGCCACAGAACCTCTTATAAGCGATATTGTTTTGCATGTTGACGAAGTTGAGGCCGTCTTAAGAACATTAGACCCTAATAAAGCCACTGGTCCAGACGAGATCACAGCTAGAATTATGAAAGAAACTTCTGCTGTTATCGCTCCATAATTGTGCAAGTTGTTCATAGGTTTTTGGGGGAAGGCTTCATACCGTCTGAGTGGAARTTGGCTAATGTGGTGCCCGTTTACAAGAAGGATGAAAAAGATCGTGTTAAAAACTATAGGCCAATCTACCTACTTTGCATTACTTCAAAAGTCCTCGAACGTTSTGTTTTGAACCGCATCAAGGTTCGATTAGAAGAATTTATTGCGGGCTGTCAGCATGGGTTTCGTAGTGGACGTTCATGTGTCACTAATCTACTTGAGACCCTAGACCACATCGGAGCTATTCATAACAGAGCTGGTCAAGTAGATTGTGTGCATTTAGACATGTCCAAAGCATTCGACAAGGTTAGACATGACCTGCTTATGGAAAAACTGKGGGATGCTGGCTTTGGAGGAAATGTGCTCACGTGGTTTCATGTGTATCTCTGTGACAGGCGCCAACGTGTCACCGTACTAAGTGCGACATCACGTGACCTACCTGTCACTTCAGGTGTTCCACAGGGTTCTATACTCGGGCCTGCCCTCTTCTTGTTATATGTCAACAACCTTCCAGATTCTATTACTAATAGTAAAGTGGCAATGTTTGCTGACGACACTAAAGTGTACAAGGAGGTGAAGTCTGAGGATGATGGCGCTGCCCTCCAACAGGATCTGGACAATTTGTTCTTATGGTACGCTGGCTTTGGCCTCGGCTTCAATGGAAAAAAATGCAAGCTTCAGACCATCACGAGGAAACGCAATCCCATCTGTAGGAACTACGAGATTTAAGGGCAATTCCTGAGAGGAAGAGCGCGACCTCGGTGTGTCTATGGACTGTGACTTGACTTGGCACGCACAAGTCTGTCATCGAGCTGCTCGCCCAAACAAGCTGCTATACGTTAGGAGGAACTCTAGGTTTATTCAAAGTACTTCTGTAAGTCGCACATTATACCTAAGGCTAGTACGTGCTCATCTTGGCCACGCAACCCAGGTCTTGGCGCCGCAAGGTAATGAACTAATTTCTAAACTCGAAAATGTTCAAAGACGCGCCACCAAATTCAAGGATTTGCCTTTAGACGAAGGTCCAAGTTAATCGAATCAACCGCGGAAACAAAATCGCTTTAAAAGTCACACACCAAGCTGGATTCTTTCAGCAAGTAAGCTCCTTCGATACCTACAAACTTAATGATGTCCGTAGAGTAGTGACTAAAGGCAAGAGTTAAAAAAACCCGCGAAAAAACGCATTTCTCGACTTCTTGAAGTACAGCYTCGAGCCAAAACAAACCAACTGTCAAAGTCAAAAGTTTAGCTTGAATATGCAAATCTAGGATATTTTACAGTCTAGCGATCAGTTGTCAAGCCAAAGAAGTCCGTAACCATGGTTTGTTTTTTGCTCTTTTTAGAAAGAAATCAGGAGAAATAAGTACTAAATAAGATTATTTAGAC